TTCTTCCCCAGGGAAGGAAGCAGCTTTGTGATAATCATCTTGTCAACGTGGCATTGCAGTGAGCAGCGAGACTTCTCGGGGTGGGAATTTGTTTTGTGGAAGAAAAAAAAAAAGTACACACACACACATAATATATATTAATATACAGTATATGTATGTGTGTGTGTGTATGTATGTGTTATATATATATATATATATATATATATATATATATATATACTATCTTTTTTATCTTCTCATCAGTTTTGAATATTGCATTTCTCTCTCGTTTTGTGTGTGTGTATTCACAGCATAGGACTATGTGTCACCCACTGTGTACTAGATCCTCTTGTGCTGAGAACAGTCTCTACTTCCTCTACTTTGTAAGGCTTTGTCCTGGTATCACACACAAAATCAGGTTTTTTAGATTGATATTCATCTTAAAACCAAATGGAGACTGCGGACTTATTTCTGGAAGCCCACTGCCTTTTCAGAGCACCAACATTTGAGGGTTTTTTCTCTCTTCTTGGCTGTTTTTTTTTTTAAGCTGCTTTTTTATTAAGGTATTTTTTTAAGGTATTGTATTCAATTTTGTGCATCCAAATGCAGTTATGGTCTGAGTGAGTTTGGGTTTTGTCTTGGATTCTGTCTGACCTTGGGTGGCGCTGCTCGTTCTTCGCCCCCTCGGGGATCTTGTGTTATCAGGTTCAGATCTCAGATTTGCACCCTGGGTTATGCTCCTCTGAAAGATAGATAGCACACACTTAGAGAGAACTCAGGACGTTTTGCTGGGAAAAAGACAAAATAATCCACACATTATCAGCTCGAGTTTCCAAAAGATGGACTGCCAAAATGCTTATGTCACTAACAGTTTCTGCCTTTTCCGTTCAGCCGTTCAGTTTTTTTAAACGTTCAGCCCATTTGGAGACAGCCGAAGTGTCTCTGTTATTCATTATGTTCATCAGTGCTTCAGAGACATAGCCAGGTTTATTTTTTGAAGGATTGTCCAAAACTGAGAAATGCTGTACCAAACCTTAAACGTTTTGCTTTCTAGTGTCTAGAAGATATCTTCTAATATGGCGTCCTATCTGAAAAGTGAGTTGAGATGCTCTACATATGTAGCACAAGAAGCTTAGTCTCACATATAGCCTGACCTTTGATTAAACACTTCATATTGTTACTTATTTTGTCTGAGAACCATTGTTTCTTTGTGATTATATAAATCTGTTTTCTATCAATATTTTTCAATGCTATATTAAATTTCTGCCATTTTTTTTAATGCTGAGCTAGATGCAATGCATCAAGGCTGCTTTGTCTGTGATGATACATGCCATAGATCAAGTGTCTTATGAGGCAGCATAACTTTTCTGCATACTGTCTGGGTAGGCAGCTCAACTGGTGACACACACTCTCGCAGTGTAGTCTTGCTGGAGTCCTTGTGTCTGTAGACAGATTTGGGGTGAGGCCTGTTACAGTAAGGGTGAATTTAAATATAGACGTTTCCACACAGATAAATATAGACCCCCGTCGTACAGTAGGCTAACACACAGTGAGAACATGGACCACAGAAGACTGACGTGTTTTTTACAGAAACATTACTCCTCAGCAGGGCCCACAACCATTTTCCTCTTAAAATAAATCCGCTGACATTTTGCCAGTCTTGTAAGACAAATTCATCAATGTTGGCAGCACATTTAAATGTCAGACTTAGTTCATTGAGTTTGTGCTTCATTGTCTATAAATATGGTTTAAAATACACCATGAAGTCACAATACTTTTCTGCTCTTTTTGCATGTCCAGAGAGTGATATTTATTTATTTGTATGTATTTTGTGTGATAAATTTTTTTGAGGATCAATATTTATAGAATTTTATTGATGCGAAATGGTTTAATTTCAAAATGTCACTGTCCTAGTTAAAAACGGAATTCGAACAACTGAAATTGGAAGAGCACATTTGTATATTGTATGTGCATGTATGTATATGTATATGTGTGTGTATATATATATATATATATAATTTGAGAAGAGATACTAACATGTTGCTGTTCAACAGACTTTTTTCTAAATACTTCATACTGCATATTTCATAGGTGTTGCTGTTGTAGTAAAATGTAGTAAATTCTGTGTCTTACACATATTAAATGGCTGTAAAAACAGGGAGGATGAGAGTGAGCAGTGTTTCACAGCATATCTGATCTTTGAAGTTAAAAAGCAAGATGGGAAGGCTTTGAAGTGTATGTCGGGTTTAAGAGCTAGAGTTTGATGAGTCAGGCTTGAAGTCCTCATAAATCACATGTAAACACTTCAGTACGTTTTTATCTTTCCTTTCTTCCCCTTTGTAGGTCAGAGGACCGAAGTGCTGGTACCCTTTCCTGATATCCAGATATAGTGCTTGAAATCATGATTAATATATATGTATATATATTGAAATAATGAGACATATATATGTGTGTGTGTGTGTGTTTTTATATATATATATATATTATATATATATATATATATATATATATATATATATATATATATATATATATATATATATAATTTTA